TAATATTTTTTTATCTAAAATTAAATTGATAATATATAAGATAAAATTACTAAAAACTTACTAATTAATATTTATAATGATTTATAAAATTTAGTTAAAACTTAGCTTCAAAAAAGATATTTTTTGAATTAATATTAAATCTAAACTTATTTTACTAAAAAAAAAAAAAAAAAAATCATATTTAGCTCATAAAATATTTATTTTTTTGGTAATTTTCTTTTTTTATTTTTTATTGTAAAATACCTAAATATTTGTTAAAGAAAAGTTTAGTTTTTAAATTTACATACTTTTTAATTATAATTTCTTTTAATTAATATAAAATTCATGATTTAATTTATTTTTTCAATCAATTAATATAGTATATTACAATTATATGAATTTGTTATTGAATAAAAATATTAAAATGAAAATATAACTATTTGAAAATTAATAATAACATAAAAATATCTATAATATTTTTATATTTAAATTTAATAATATTTATAGTAAAAAATTTTCATTTTATTTATTTAAATAGTATTCTATAAGATAATGAATTTTTCAAAGTTAGAAATAAAATCTGTTACTTATTTTATAACGTAATATTTAGCATATCTTGAAGTTGTATTATAATAGTTTTTATTATTCAATTATCTATTAATAATAAATAAATAACAAAATTTTGGAAAAAACAAAATATATTACAATGTTTTAAGAAGTTTATCAATTGGCTTTCAATAAATTAAAGATATCTATTAATAATCATTTAGTATTACCTTTACAGTCAACTCTTGTTATAACGAACTCTATGTCTTAGATCTCAACTTCACTATAAGGCTATAGTGAAGATTTTAAGAGATTTGATTGACCAATTTGCTATAACAAGAGTATTTTTATTATATTTGTTCAAAAAATTCGTTATATCAAGAGTTCGCTATATCAAGAGTTGACTGTATATAAAGCAATTTAATACTTTAATTTTATATTATAATTATGCTTAACAATATCATTGTAATATTGAATTGTATTTAGAAATTTAAGAATTTAAAATGCTAACAGATCAACTTATATGGGATGAGTGCTAGAAAAAGGAATCAAATCATCAAAAAATTATTTTTTTAAATAATGAAAGTTTTGGATCAGATAAGATGATCAGATTTAATTTTACTTAAGAACAAATTTTTGAAAAAAAAATTTGATTTGATCCTTTTTTCCAGCACTCACCCCATATAAGAATAGAAATTTTTGTGTTTTTTTAACTACCTTATCTTGAATTATCCCTTGGCTGGATCATTCTTTCAACCATTATTTATTGTAATTTAAATTTATGAAGATAATGTATTTGATTTAAAATTTATTAGAAAAGCAAGATTAAAAATTTATCAAATTTATCAAAATTAGTCTAAAAGATATTTGACTTCTAATATCTGAAATAGATGTGAAATAAAAAATTTTTTTTTTTTTAATATAAATTAGAATTAGAAATTCATCTTTTTTTTTTTAAAAAAAAAATTTATGTATAATTTTAATTATTCAAAATTTATTCATATTTGATATCAATTACTAAAATACATTTCAAGGTATAGATGTTGAATTGAATATCGATATAGTTTGAATACAATTTTACATTATTATTAAAAAATTTGATAATCAATTGGATTTTATGCAACATCTAACATGCGCTATGTATGGTTTAAAGTTCGTGCTTTTAAGTGAGCATATGAATTGGTTCTCATGCGAAATTGTGAATAACAAACCATATTTTTCGGACACAAACAAATACAAAACAATAGACCTGGAATATCCTTAAAAGGTTTTAATTGTTTTAAATGGTCGATTAAATACTTGTCGGTTTATGTAACACGAATTAAAAAGAAGTTTTATATTCTTTTCAAAAATAAACATAAAAAGATAAATTCTAAAGGATTTTTTCTTTTTTTTTTTAAAAAAAAAAAAAAAAAATTAATTTGGACATTAAAAAGAGATTAAAAGAAAAAATAATCTTTTTTTTTATACATTCTTTCCTATTATAAAATTTTACGAACCTTTCACCATGATTGGAATTGCTAAAATCACAACAATTTTCGCTGGTATTTTCACTTTCTTGGGCATTATAGGGCCTGTTTCAATCATGGCATCTCCTATACCTGCAGAAATTCCAAATCCTATTTCCATTCCTCTGCAAGCTCAACAGGATGAATCACTTTTAGTAGCTCGTAACACATTGACAAAGCGCCGTAAAATCGGTAAGTTTTAAAGCGAAAAAAATTTTTTTCTATAAGAAAGATTTTTACCATTTAATCAATCTTTTTAACTCGCTTTTTTTTTTTTATTTTATAGTCGGTTCAGGTTGTTCTGTAATGTAAACAGCAATTTACCAAAAAAAGAAAAAATAGAAAAAGAAAATGGGTTTTCTAAATGAGCGTAGAACGGATGATTGTTCCACATATATATATAGTTTTGTGTATAAAGTTTTGTCAATTAAAAATAAAATCAATCCGATTTTAACTGATTATATGAAATATTACATGTGCATTAATTTCGATTGCGGTAAAAATGCGAACACTTGCAAATAAACTATAATACTGTTAAAAACTTTTTAAAGAAGCATTCATCATCATCAATTTTCAGCTAAAGAATCAGAATCTTCGTCACTTGAACTATTTTCAGAAGAGGAACCAGAACTTAAAGAAGTTAAGGAGGATTCACTTTCCTCTTCATCCCTCCTCCTTTTCTTTTCATTATTCAAACCTACTTTATTCTCCTCCCTCATTTTTAGATAATTCATAATTCCTAATTGAGTTTGATCAAGTTCAAGCCATTTACAAATATTCAAAGTAAATTTCCAATAATCAATATCATTTTGTTGCCAGGCTGTTGGTAAATATTTGAGTAAACCGTCCATCATCTTTGTTAATCCCGTTACTTTGAATTTTTTTGCTAAATACGCGATTGTGAATAATTGTTCATTTGTTCTCATGTAAATCGGACATCCATAACTAAAAATCAAATGACTTTCATTATCATTTCCTCTTTATTATAATTATTAATAATAAATAATATGATACTCACAAATATGATAGGAATTTACCAAAAATTTCATAATCATAATAAAATTCAACATTATGAAACCGATCATTTTCATCTTTACAATCCTCTTTATTAAAAATGTCATACCAATTCTTCACAACAATACAACTTTTCATTAAACAAGAGCAATCTATATAATACTTTCCATTTTTCCTTTTATCATCATGTCCCTCTTTAAAATATTCCAAGAAATAACCTGATTGATATTTTAAGATAATACTATGTGCAAAATAACATTTTCCATCTATACGCAATACCACATCGTATGTATAATGGTCATTGAAAAGTCGTTTTAAATTTGGAATTACCTCCATCTTTTCTTGAAGATTTGAATAAGATAGAGGCTAAAATTCTACAAACAAGCTTGTTTGAAATTTATGTTGACATGGACCCATTACGTAATCGATTTGTTGATCAAGTTGGGGGATTTTTTTTATTAAAAAATCGCAAATCCAGTTCAAGCATAACTTAAAATCCCTTTTTTTAAAAAAAAATAAAAAATGATTTCTTTCATAATATATTCCTTAATTTTTCTTGTAATAAATGTAATAATTGTATATGTTGTAATGAATGATGATAATAAAGAACAATTTAGTGAAAACAAAATTTTATTAGTTATATCTCATCCTGATGATGAATGTATGTTTTTTGGTCCCACTTTACTGTCCTTGCAAAATAGAAAAAATCAAATTCATGTATTATGTTTATCAATAGGTATTTTTTATTTTTTAAAAAGTTTTTTTCGTTATTTAAGAATGGAATTAAAAAATCATCTGGGTGATAAAATATATATAATATTTAGGAAATGAATCGGGATTGGGGGAGTTACGAAAGAAAGAACTGGAGCGTAGTTGTATTACGCTTGGGATTGAAGTCGGAAATGTTTATGTTATTGATCATCCGTAAGTTTACAATCTCAAAAATGTAAAAATCTCTCAATCGCCTCTGTCAAATTAAATATTTCTTTGATTCAATTAAGGTTATTACAAGACGGTCTAAATAATAATTGGGACCCTTCTTTAATATCTGACATAATAAACGATTATGTTATAACTCATCGAATTGACACTGTAAGTATGCATTGTAAATTCTCATTTTTTTTTTTTAAAAAAAATAAAATAAAGGTAAAAAAAAAAAAACTTCAAATTTACAGATTATAACTTTTGATGAGAAGGGGGTTTCTTCACATCCAAATCATATAGCCGCGTTTAAAGGTGCTAGGTAAATAATGAATTATTGTTATATTGGTAACTGAATCAACTAATTTATTTGTTCATGTATTTTATCTAGAAATTTTATCCAATCCATTACCAGTTCAAATAACATCATTTTATACAAATTAACAACAGTCTCGGTATTAAGGAAATATATATCCATATTTGATCTTCCTCAAACATATTTATTTAAAAATCAAACCAATTTCATTTTTATTTCTACCTTCAATCATTTTATGCAAGCAAGAAAAGCTATGACAACTCATCAAACTCAATTAGTTTGGTTTCGTCACTTATATATTTTATTTTCTAGGTATATGGTAATGAATGAATTACAATTAGTTAAATAATAATAAAATCAATCTATTTAATTTATTATTGTTATGACTTAATTAATTATATTCTTAACCGTAAACTGAAAGACAAAACCCTTTTGAAAAGGGTTAAATGAACTAAAAATACACAAAACTATTTTTAAATGATTGATTGAAAAGATTATATTTTACAAAATTAATGATTAAAATGAAAAAAAAAAATTAATTATGTTCTATATTACAAAACAACAACATTAAGAAATTATAAGAATTGAAATGGCATTGAAAATCATAAATATACCTCTCTTTTTACCAAATACATCAATTAATGAGTAATTAAACAAAAGGATAGCAAATGAATGATCGTTCTTATTATTAGTTATTATTAATCAAATATGGATTACTACAACTGAAAGTCACTATCCTCTTCATCATCGGTCACATTATCTATAACTGATTTGCGTTTCTTTTTAGACTTTTTAGACATAGCATCATTAGGTGCACTTCTTTTTTTACCACTTCCTGGTGTCCTTGGTGACGTATTTTTTGACTTTGAACCTAATTTACGTACGATTCCTTTCTTTGTAGGGGTACCTCCTGCCGATTTTGTTATCGTTGGCGTTGTTTCATCGAACAATGACATGGTCGTTACGTCGAAATCCACGTTAACGTAACCATTCGATTGTTTGTTAATTGAGTCCGCTTCCATCTCCGTGTTGGCAAATTCTTCTTGCGTGCCATCATCAGACATAAGTTTTCTGAACTGAAGCAAAGAAACCATGTTTATTTTATCTAAAGAATATTTCAAGGTAAATCCACAAAAAAAAAAAAAAAAAATTTAATATAATTCAATACCAATTCGCATTGTTGGTGTATATCTTCATCAGTTAACAAAGGTTTATCTACGAATGGAAGACCTTCCCATGTAATCACTGGTGGAGCATGTTGTTGACGTAACGCCGGCTTATCTTTATTAGATCCACTTTGGGCTGGGTTGAAGTTCTGACATTTACTAAATATTATACAAAATCGCGGTCAATAAACCGCATATAATGGACATTTAAAATCTCTCAGAATCCTGACTTACGCTTCACTAAGTGCGTATGCCTTTTTCAAATGTTCTTTCAAGTACATAAGAATAGCCATGCAAATGGAAACCTTGGCGGCATAAGGTAATGGTAAAATAGTTTCTATGAATAATAATGATAATAATCACGATTATTTAAAATATAATTAATATTATAATATAACTATCTATAATTTGCAAAAGACATAAATATACCTTTATCTTTATTTATCGATTCTCGCTCTTGAACATCTTGTATTGCCATTTTCTCTACACTCTCTAAAAATGCGGAACTTTGTATATCAATTGACGTTGAATTTAAATTAATGTTATCCTTTAGGGTTTCATATCTCCCATTAATTTCCTTAACCTCGCCGTTAAGCATAGGAACATTATGCGGATCCGAATCAAGTGGGAGGTTCCTTTCAACAATTATTTGAACGTTATCAAGGATTTGTTCTTGGGAAAATTTGTTTTGACTAAATGCGTCCACGTTGATATTAAGAACTTTTGCATTGTGTTGAATGGAATGCAGAATACTTATAGCAACAACTGATAAAACACGATTGATGCAATAGATAACATGAAGGACTTCTTCCAAGGATTTATAATCAATAGTAGCAAGATTTTCTGCGACAAATTTACAGAAACCAACATCAACCTACACAAAATAAAATAATAAATTTATGAAATAATTGGAAGAAACGCATATGAATACGTATTAAAGCAACCATAAAATGTTATTTGTTTTTCATACCATCGATTCATCGTATCGTATTAGATCAAAATCAAACGTCCTGACAATTGATATTAAGAAATCATTGCGACGTTGTCGTTTTTCTTTTAACAAAGAATACATTGGATTAAGCAAAGCCTCCGGATATCCCTCATCATTTCGAACAGCATATCCTTATAAAAATAATTAGATTAAAGACCCACAAACAATGTATAAAAACGTTCTTGATTTTGTGATTCTTATATAACATACCAACGAGGTTATTACCAACCAATTGTTTTTGAAAAGCGTATGCCTTTTTGACGCAATCAACGTTACGAGAATGTATCAATGAAGCGTGCTTTTCATTTAAAAGTTGATGCAATTTAAACGCTTTGTCGCGAATCGTTTGTTCCGGACTAGTTTCTATGGCAACAATTGTTGGCATACACTAAAATATAAACCTTAACATAAACATAACATCGACAAAATATAACAAATGATGAACAAAAGCTCCTACAAACCAATACAGGATGGGCTAAACCCTGTTGAATAATGTTGCCCAAGACATCTAAAGCAATCGTTTTCAAACCCTGCGTTTGATCAAAAGTACATTCAAGGATCTGGTCGAGATATCGTTGCATTAAAGAGCTGCTCACCCTTTTAAAAAAAAAATTTTTTTTTTTTAGAAAGAAAAATCATAAAGAAATAAATATAATATAAATTTTAAACGGTTCATATCACTTTACCCTGCCTCTGCAAACTCATCCGCATTTCCAATCAAAACCTTTAAATCGACAGGAACATTTTTTTTTTGTTCTATAAAAAAGGAATTACGTAAGTTATAACCTGAAACAAATCAATGTTATGAATTATATCACGATATTCTCACTTTTATCTTCCAAATCCGTGTTAATCTTTTGTTGCTCTGCTACCAAGAAATCGGCGAATACCTTCATTAATTGTATTTTCATATCCATGACCCCAGTACTTAGAATACGATCCATTAGACTGGTGCTTTCCGGTCTGAGCATGATTATTGGATAGGACAAATATATGAATCCTATATATAAGATAACATTAATAAGGTGAGAAATAATGCTATATGTGCATAATGTTAATTAATATCCTTCCTTACCCAAGCTCTGTAATGCCATTTTCTGTACGGTTTCTGATAAGCTTTCACCACAAAAATATAAAGCTAATTGGAAAACAATTGCTATTATAGGTCCCTAAATTTCATATAAACAAATGATAGATTATCATACATTATATTAAAACATTAAAGCATATTAGACAATATTCGTTCAAACCTTGTCAATGAGGTTTAATTCCTTCATTTCGTCTATTAAGAAACAGAATAGTGAACGTTATCGAAATGATAATAATACAATCAAATTATTATATTTTTAATAGTCACCAACCTGGATGTTCTGTTCTTTTTTTGTCAAAATCAAAGTTTTTACATAATAAACCGATAATCAAAAGAAGAACCATAACATTTCGAGCCGAAGATATCTCTTTTCCGGTATCCAAATGTTTCTTTTCAATTTTAAGTTTTTCTGTTAATAAGATATACGGAAGGTAAGTAATTGTTCAATTATATCACATGAAAATAGGTTTACAAAGTATTACCTATACAAGATCTTAGTAGCTTCGTTAAACGAGCATAGTTATGTGTTAACTTATCCACAATAACACAAAGACAAGGCACAACCTCTTGAAGAATCTAAAAATAGTTATAAGATTAACTTATATACAAATATTACATGTTTATTTTAAATTCAAATCATTACCTTTTGTGGACTTTTGGTAAGTAGACCAAGAAGTGCTTGTTCTACCTCAGTTAAAAAGCTTGGATTTGGTCGTTTTAAAAGTGGAAGAACACTTCGATAGATTATTAATACATAATACAAGATTGTTTGTTCATCGGTCTATAATATCCAGAATAAAATTAAAAAAGGTTCAGGTTATTGATAGAAAACATCACGTTTCTTACCGAACTAGCACTTTTTAAATACGGTTGCAAAGTGGCGACATGCCTTCGAACAAGTGAAGGAGAAGCATTACTTAAGAGGCATATGGTGCTGATACAACTTACAACCTCAGTCTTGAGAGAAAGAAATATAATATTATAATTAGTTATCAACGATTCTTTAAAAAAAAAAATGTTTTTTCAAAGTTCATGTATGAGTAAGTACTTTTGAATTAGAATCTTGTAATGTCAATAGATGTTCAAAGAGACAATCCACCATACACTGACATATATTTAAGATTTCTCGTTTCTGCTTTCCATCCTTTTCTATAATCTTTTCAAAAAAAGCAATTTATCAACTTCTTTCACGTGAAACATGCTCATATTAATGAAAAACAAAACTAACCTTTTTGAATAGCCCTCCCAACACATTACCATTCCTTTCGCCAAGGCGTCCTGCAACTCCAACAATTAACAAACTTCTACTTAAAACTTCCTTCTTGCCAACAGCATACATGTTGGTAAATTCACTTTGTCCTTCATTATCATCATCAAGATCATCCATGTCAACGGTCACATTCCTTTGATGTTTGAAAGGTACAAACCATAATTCTTGAATGGTTTTTAAAGCCAAGTCCTTAAAAATCAAATAAAACACTAATTAGTATCAATGAATTGGTTAACAATTTTAATCACTGACAAATTTGTTACTTTAACATGATTATCGTCGTCATTTATACGCATGAGAATTTTACAGCCAATGTCTATCATCATCTTCTGATCCGTGCTTTTAAGATATATGTCACGAAGTAATTTGATAACACGTTTTCGGACATTGAGACCAGTATCCTAAAATTTCAAAATCAATTGTTACCAGAAAAGTACTTGAAAATATATCCATTTAATCAAAGATGAAAATATATATTACCAAAATTCGTTCACTAATAACTTTATAATACTGTTCAGTGATTTCGGGTTTTTGCGAGAGATATCGACCGACAAGATCAATGGCTGCGTCGCGAACGGCCGGAGAATTATCGGAAAGTCTTTGTGCAATTGTTTGCCGAACATTGACCTACGAATTCAAAACATCATTAACAAATCAACACGGAACAAGTAATAATAAAGAACAAAATTGTATGCCTATCTTACTTGGCTCAAAATGTTCGGATCATTAACAACTACTTGTCCTAACGCCCTCAGAGCTTTGGTTCGGAAGGCAACAACTCCCGTATCAAGTGAAACCAAAATCCTTGAGAGAATGGAGTCAAAATTCTGATAAAGAGCTTGCCTTGTTGCAAGAAATTCGGTTATAAGACTGATATCAGAGCGTTCAGTATCGAATGACCTATTCAGAGAATAATGGAGAACTAAGCAACTAGATAACCAACAAAATATTGTTAAGGAAGCTACAAACTGACTTGCCTTTGTTCTAAACTTTGATTAATGTTATCATCCAAAAACATTTGCCAATATTCGGCAATGATTTTATCCAACAATTTTTTCAATGAACGGATTAAGTCATTATCTTCGCTATCTTCATTTGACAAATTTTCAGTAACAGTTTGTAGTGTACTAACAAAAGAATATCCCCATTCTGCCAAATAAAACTGTCGAGCGCACTAATAAAATTGAAAATATATAGTCAATGATATTCATCGTAATGACTTATCAAGTTCTAACAGGTTAAACGCATACCTGTACACCGGGATCTTGCAACGCAACAAATTTCAAAAATGTCAACACAGTCTTTTGACATTCCCAAAGATTTTTAATTGCCTGTAAACTCGTATTACTAGTAATCTAAAATCGGACCAATTGAAATATAGTTACAAAATTTATATTTATTATGACTAGAAATAAAAAATTATCATTTTATTCATACCTCTCCCCTTGGAATATCTTTGGCCATATCTATACAATGACGAACTTCTTTATTTTCCCAATTATCCTCCAATGTACTCTCACCATTGATCAGAGCATTATTGGCATATTTTTTTATTCGTCCAGCAATGGTTCCTAAATAATCAATAGCCATGGACTTCGTGTACGTATCTGCTTTCTTATCATTAATATAGCCGACCTAAGGTTTACAAATGAATTATAGATGAATGAATCGATAAATAAGGAAAATAAACTTATATATATACTCAACTAAGATATATTACCATAATTTTACTGAAAATGTGAACTATCATTTCCGCGGCAGGCCACTCTGGAAAGTTTAACACAGTAATTACATCTTCCATAAAGTTATCCAACAGGACACGATATTCAGAATCATTTGAGTTTTTAATAGATTTTGTACATCTTGTCATATCAAAAAAAAAAAAAAAATATTAAGAAAAAGGTTAAAAATTAATCACTTCTTTAGAATGTAAAATACCTTGCCAGCAAGAATTTGAAGACATAGCCGGCATTCACGCTAGCTGCGTCTATTCCTGTTTTCCAAATACCGCCACACTACATTAAATTTTAACTAAAATAAATTCTGTGATCTAAAAAAAAAATGAATGATAATGCGTTTTAGTGGAAAAATAAAAAAAAAACCTTTTTAAAATTATTGACATCGTCATTGATCTCCATTCTAAGAATTTCATTTTTACGCTGACCATCAATATCCTTAGAATCGTACTGATTTGTACCAGCAGTGCAACTTTGAATGAGTTGCAAAATAAGTGCTGAAACCATTTGAATTGATTTACCATCAGGTAACCTATAATTAATAATGACGAAGTAAAAAGGGTCTTATTATAATAATAGATCAGTTATATACCATTACGATTCCATTTTTAATTACCTATATTGTCGCAAATTACGTTTTGCGGTAGGTAATTTAATGAGGGAGGTTAGAATTTCCTCTAAAATCCAAGTACGTTGTTTTTGATTATTTGTGAAAACCTATTAATTTAATTAGAAATAAGTTTTAAAACGTCAACCAACATATAAAAAATAAGATAATCATATCTCACCAATCGCAATAACCCAAGTGCAACCAATTTCATGGATTCAACATTGATTCCAAAAAAATTATTGCCGCCTCCACCAGAAGAATCAACAAAAAATGGTCCAATGGCGATAAAACTAACTGTTATGACAATACTATCCGAAAGCTCTTCTTGCTGCATCAAGTCGTATAACTTTTTCAAATAAGTAGTTATAACCGGAAGCATCCCTGAAATTTTACGCTTTAAACGAGAAGTACAGAACCAGAATAATAATAGTCAAGGATCCTTAAAATACATAAAACCATAAATGATTAAAAAGAAATTCTTTTATGAAAAAGGATATTTATCAGAAATCTCGAGCAATAAGGAATCTGTTGCAACTATACAAGATTGAGGATTGTTAATAATTATACCCATAAAAATTTTCAATGTAGAATAATAACATACGACTTAATTCCTCATTAGAGGTACTTAATTCCAAAAAGCGATAAATAATTCCTCCAAGTTGATTTTTTACAAGATTTAAACTTGAAGTGATTAAATCTTCGGGATATAGCTGTACTCAATAATACGAAATCGCACATTTAAATTAAAATTAATATATCATAATCACAGATAATGAAGTAATACAATAAAGTTATAGGAACAAACCTGTTTACTTAATTTACCGCCTGTCATGATTGAAAATGCGGCTATTGCGGCGTCAATTCCGTTAGTTATTTTTTCAAGTTTTTCCTCCATTTGTCTAATTTTTGAATCTTCCTCATCCTCATGGGAATCATCTTCATTTATGTCATTATCTAAATTTTTGTGATTCACTTTAGTTTTCGAATTTGTCGCGTGTATTTGGACTTGAAATGCTGATTTTGGTAATACATCCAAATTTTCAACCTCACGCACAGAACGATCTAATATTTTCAAAAGACGTGCTAAATCGTCTACTTCAGCATCTTCCATACGTTTATAACGGCTCACTTTGTTAACAAGCTTCGTAAGTTGTTGAATTGCGCTTGTGGTAAGCAAGGGCTCACTCGAACCCATGCTTGACTGAACTAGTAGAGGTGTTGAATTTGATGCAAATGCATTATTAGAGGATTGTTCCATGTCGACGGAATCCTCAGCTTCAAATATCGTACTCATATAATTAATCAAATTGATCAGTGCGCCTATAGAAATTATAATTAAAGACAAGGTTATAATAAAAAGTAAAGGTAACTTGATATAAACTATTTAAACTTACTCTCTCCATTTCGTTCTTCATCCTTATCCCTATCCCTATGTTTTTTATATTCCTGATTCGACTTTTTCTGAGATTGCTGCAAGTTAAGGATCGAATCAAACTCTGATTTTTGAGGCGAGCGATACACTTCTAATTTATTTCTCGGTGTGACTTCTATAACTACTTTAGGGGATGGCGCACGAGTACTCTGCCGCTTTGCAGTTGAGATAATGTTCGAATCTACGTATTGATTATCATTGAAATCTTTCACATAAGATTTTTCCTGATTAATAACGACTTGAGGAATTAAATTGTTTGATTCTATTTCTTGTGAATCTGAATCAAATGGTACTTTCGAAACATTATAATTTGACTGAATATAAGATTTTGAAATAGGTGTACTTTCTATAACAACATGTGGAGAATTGTGACGTTCATTCTGCCGATAAGTTTGTGGAATTTCACTCACTTCTGAATAAACATTAGGATGATAATCTCGACTTGAATGTGCTGGAGTATCCAAAAAAACCAATGATGATGGTTTAATCTCTTGACTTTCTAACGTATTACTTATAATTGAGTTATTATAAATGTTTTCATTATTATACGTATTCTGTTGTTCTCTCTGATCATTGGATATCATTTGAGTGGGTGAAATACTTGATCCTTTGTAAGAACTATGGTTATAATCAATACGCTGAGATACAGAACTATTATTCATGACAATTTCTGGTGTACTATTGTATGATAAGGAATCAATGCCATAAAAATCATGGTTATGGGTCTGTTCTGGGATCATACTGCCTTGAGGGATAATTTCCATAGTTTGCTCGAACGGACGTTTATGTTGATTTTTAAATTGAGGGTTGATCGCATAGTCGAAAGAAGGTTGTTGGAATGTTACCGATGGGCTCTTGAATCGGCTAGTTAAAAAAAAAAAAATATTCATTAAATCATTCAAAAATGAACTCTAACAGTACTTTATTTTTTTATTACCAAAATTTCATAAAATCAAAAAATGACTATGAATTTTGATAATATTTCGAGTTCAAAATGTCAAAAGTAAAACAAACTATGTTTGTAATAGTTTCGACATATGATTGATTCTACATATTATGAAAAGGACCGTAATAAATTAAATCGACAAACCATTGACCACTTACACATAGCTCACATCAGCCTGGTTAATCAATCCACGAACTGCATGTAGAGATATGTCGGGAAATTTTGATGCTGATGGATTATCCAAGAGACTGCCAATACGTGCGTATTCAGGATCTGTTGGATTGCAAGTAATATAATCTCCGAATGCAATAGTTATAGGAGGTATATCCCTTATAACTTTTCGACAGGAGTGAAAGATTGTTAAGCGAGCTTTTTAGACCCATATCTAAACAGACCCCCAGAGTCATTTGCGGACATTGATCCCCAATCAAATAAATAAAAATAAAAATAAAAAACCTGCTGATGCCGGAGTAAGTGAAGCTAAAGCAGAGTATTGTAATGACGAACGAACGTCGCTTGGGGCTGGGACGTAACTTGCTCCGATCACTTCTTTGCCACCACGCTGCTTTCCATTTGCACTGTGAGGACCATTCATTATTTTGCTTTGTTGGATTTACACAAATTGCGCGTTTAATAGTTGTTTGATAAATTTCACTGTTTACAACGTTTTCCTATGGAACACTCGAAATAAAAATGAATGACATCAGAGTTGAAACACAGTTTTCTTCTCACTTTATATCAAACAAAAATAGTGCAAACTTTCTTTGCTTTTTATATCATGATTTCGAAGCGAAAATTGAACTTATCGACTGATTTTTATTTCATGCTAAGGTAACTAATCACGTGATTAAGTATGATATCTATTGAATAAAAAATTTTTACATCAAAAAAAAAATTATGATAATAACAAAAAAGATGATTACATATATATATATATATATATATATATAAAATAAGACAAAATATATTATAAGAATTAATAAATAAAATAAAATAAAAAAATAGATCAAGTCATTTCTTGATTATCACTTTGTCGCGAACTGTGTTTAGAATTTTTGGCCTTTTCCATTTCTTCTCTTTTGGCTTTCTGAATTTCCCAATCACTAAAACTTTCATCGCGTCCCAGTTTAAAACATTGACAACTAAATATAATTTTAACAAATTTCCAATACGCTCGAATCGCTTCCATTGAAGTTCCAAAAACTATGAATAATAATATACCCAACGATGCAATTATATATTCCATAAAAGGTTTTTTAGGATCATAAGGAGTTTCTTTGATGCTTAAAACTAAATTTCTTCCGTAAACTAAAATAGTTACGGCACAATATAAAACTCCAAATGTCACTAACCGTATACATACAAAAATTGGTATAGAAGCAATAGTTCTAGAGGAAAGGGGAGGGTTCTCATCAATTTGTCGCGTATTATGAAAATTTGGAAGTGATGCCATTGTTGCACTAGGTTCAACTCCAGTATTACGGGATGTTCGAGTTACGATTGAGGAGGGTTTTGGTTTAACAATACCTTTTCGAATATAAATAAATTTTACTACCATGATGGCAGTTCGTATCGAAAAATAAATTCCAAAAAGACTTGTTAGAGTGTTCCAACCTTGAATACTGCAAATATATGTATAAATAACATTATTAAGTAAATTCGAATCAATGAGATAAATAAATCAAGTTCCTACCTAAAAAAAATCATTGGCACCTCTGGCTTATAGAGAACACAAAAATACGGGCCTGGCAAAATTCCATTCGGTCTCTCGGCAATTAAAACTGGAGGAATAATACCGACTAATATTGGAATGATCATTAACGTGGCCAAATAAAATTTTCGTCGTAGCCATTCACCTTCAGTTACGCGTAAAACCAAACTCCTATAAATCTCAAAGGAATATATTAATACTGTGATTCCTGCAGCTATCCCTGATGCATTGATCCATAACGCTTGAATCCAACATATCACTTGGGGTGCTTGATCTAAGTTTGCTCCATAAATCCAAGCTCCAAGTACGTGGGGTATATAGAGTGAAACCATGGATATACAAAAATATACAAATATACGATTGTAATCGAGTCGTCCGTATATAATTGAAAGAATTATCATACAAAAGAGAGAAACCGAGCTTAATATTGCATATATGAGGCCACCACCATTGATATAAGGTTCATTGTCTATTTGAAAACTATTATTATTTGATGTATCATTATTAGTTGCTGAAAGAGGACCCGCCTCCATAATTCTTTTTGAGATATAATATCCTACGGGAAATACTACCAAATTATTTTATTAGAAAATCTAAATTACATGAAATAATTTATTTATTTAAATACAAAAAAAAAAAAACTGGTGTCGTGTATATACAGTGAACCGACAAAGCCTTTGCACATATACTTTTTGGACAAATATTAAACTTCAAGGTTTCACATACTAAAAGAAAAATTTTTTAAAACAAAAAAAAGTCTATAATAAAATTGACCAAGACGCGAAAGAATTGGGCTTGTCACAAGCGTGGCTGGAGGCCAAAAATCGGTTAAAAATATATGTAACCTTTATTTGTTAGATTTTTGATTATGTCATAATGACATAATAGAGTAGTAATGCTACATTTTTGGAGATGATAGACGTTATGAACGCTGCGTCACAAATAACAAAATTCAATGAAGTCATTACAACCTTGTAAGGTAAAAAAAAAGAAATGGTGTCAATTATTAAATATACAAATGATCGCTTTTAATCGATTTTTAACCAATAAAAATATTATAAATTATCATAATGAATGAATGAATGAAAATGAATGAAAATGCTTTCATCTAATACAATTCTATAAGATTCCTTTGGAGATCTAAACGCCACCAGATGATCTTTCAATTGGAATTCTCTTTTGCTCGTGTTTGTCAGGTTGATGATCAAACAATGCATTCTTAAATTGTGACTCTTTCAAATCTTTCACACCACTCATGATCTCTAAAAATTCTTCAAATTCTATGGAATCACTTTCATCCAATTTCGCATCGGTCATAATAGAATTCAACACGTTTCCAGGTATAGAATATCCAACAAACGCTAAAGCCTTGTCTATATTGGCCGTCTTGATACGCCCGTCGCCTGACACATCCAATTCTGAAAAGACTTTTTGGAAACTAGCCAATTCTTCTGGTTGAAATCGTGAACGGGAATAAATGTCTTCATGCTCTGAACTTTTAGCAGATTCAATTTGAACTTTGTTTATGGTCAACTTTTCTTTTGGACGAGGTAACCCCATAGTGAACAAAAATTCGGTGGCTTTATCGAATTCTTGAATTTGCTTTTCAGGTGTCCACCCAAGTTCTTCGCTCATTATTTCAATAATGTAAGGTAGAGATTCAAGGGTTGCTTGAGCATTAAGAAAGGCTAACCTTGTGCGACGCGCAATAACATCCTGAATAAACCACATTAAAATAAATAAACCGAGATTTATAACACAGCTTAAATATCAAAATATTACAGGAATAAAAATTACATACCACTAAAGTACAAGCATATTCTCGACGAACAGCATAACGTACTTCAGCTTCGATATATGGATAGAAAGGACTTAAACGTTGACCAAATACCGGCCATCGTTTTCCTGTAGGCTTTGATAGTGCGGCGACCGCCCACGCACGATCTCCATAACTATTTGCTAAATGTTGAGCGGTCTGTGTAAAGCAATAATTTTTTAGTCTAAATAATTCCAAATTTAATTAGAAAATATTGTATTGCGATGCGGAAAAAGGTATAACTTACTTCAGTTTCCAAACCGAATTGTTGAATTAGTTTAATGAACATAGTTTTTGAATATCCATGAGAGCCAATAAGCTTGGCCGTTTCTGTAAGACATTCGTTTATAGGTTTCAATTCTTTACGACGTATAAGCGAATATTGAGTTCAGATTGATCAGATTAGTAAATTTATTTTATTTATTCTTTAGGAGAAAAAGAAACATGCTTACCAAACACATCAATAGCTTTATCGATTGCATCCTTAGCCATAGCACGATATGTCGTCCATTTACCACCAGCAACAGTGATTAAATTAGAATCACTGACGTGAATAATGTGACTTCGCACTAACCCAGCAGTGTTTTTTGCAGAAGGATCACGCACCAAAGGTCTTATACCTGACCATGCGGCCAATACGTCACCTCGACGAACCTTTATATCTACAATTATTAAAAAAAATAAATAAATTTAACAAGACAGAAACCAATGATATAAAACACTTTTTTTACAATTAAATATACCCGGGCTTAAATATCGCCTAATTTCATCTAATATCCATTGTATTTCTTCTTCTTTTGGCATCGGGTCATACGTTAATTCTGTTGGTGAATCAGTTGTACCTGCAATAGTATTTCCTTCCCAAGGTAAAAAGAAAATAACTCTTCCATCAGAAGTTGACGGATCAAGTAATCCCATTTTTCGAGGACTATAATAATTTGGTAAAATAACATGTACTCCAGACGAAGGAGCAACAATATTATCATTTTTAACATTGTCCATCGAACGAATGCTATCTAAGATTCATTAAATTAAAAAATTTTTAACAAATACAATCCATTAAGTTTTTACACGTTCATCCAAGCAACAGTAACAAGAAGAGATTATTTTACCTGTAAATGCACCAGTAGCATTTATAACACCTTTTGTGTTTATCGTCCATTCTTCTCCAGTTAGAGTATCCCTTAAACATGCACCGCTGACCTTTCCGTCTTCATTTTTTATCAACCTTGTTGCTTCCACATGATTAACAACGACAGCACCAAGTGAAATTGCTGTTAAAGCAATCGCTACATTCATACGAGCATCATTATGCTGACCTGAATGAATGAATGAATGAATGCACGCGACATCAATGATCTACCGATAACAGGGACACCGTAGCGAAAAATATCAATTTCTTACTTTGAGTAATTGAGCTATTTATATTACGAACCGTCATAATAAACCATTGCACCGACTAGTTTGTTTTTATTCAACCATGGAAAGGCCTCAAGCGCTTTACCACGTGTCAAAAAATAAGAACTTTCAATAGCCTCTCTTCCAGCAAGCTTGTCATAAAACTTGGAACCAAACCAAAAATAGGGGACTTGCCACCACCTTAATAAACGATATCATTATACATTCAATGTTGATTGTGAATTCATTTAAACGATCAAAATAATTGAAAAAAAGATCGCGAAAGTCATACTTGTAGATAGGCAACATGATTGGCAATTGGTAACTTAGATATGGTGCAATTTGTAAAAATGTGTAACGCTCATGAAGTGCTTCTTTTACAAGTTTGTATTGTCCGTAATCAAGTTCTTTTACGGCCTTCTCTAAATACCGAACACCACCGTGAACAAGTTTTGTAGAACGAGAGGAAGTTCCAGCTGCAAAGTCGTCTCTTTCCACTAATGCAACCTTTAATCCCCTTGTAGCAGCATCAAGCGCCGCGCCTGATCCCGTGGCTCCACCACCTATGATCAGAATATCAAAAGGTGGTTCATCCTTGTGTCCTTTGAGCATGTTTAGCAAATCCCCTCTTGAAGGAGGAGTCCATAAAGTATGAGGTTTATTTGATGAAGCCTCAAGTTGAACCGTGTTTAACGCGTCTGAATGCGTTTCGGACATGAAGAGATCTGGCGAAAAGGTAGCAAGGTGTCGTCTATATGGTTGTAAGCGACGTTTTTTAAGCGTAGTTTCATTATAAAAATGATAAGAGGCTGCTCCCGTGGCTAATAAAACACCGGCATAACCAATACGCTTCCTATTGAAAGCTTTCCACATTTTTGTAAATTTTTGTAAATATAGTAGTTTTTGTAATAAAGGAAAAAACTATGGCAGTTCTCAATAATTCTTGAGAGATTTTATATAATTTAAAATCAAAAGATCTCCATTTGACATCTGATATGACAGTGCCACAAAATAAATATACTTTAATTGATTCTCGTGATAATATGCTGAATTTGAAAATGGATGGCCAATCCGCCAATCCTGAATCAAAATAAATGTGAAAGTTCGCATAGTCATGTGAACAAATTTAAAATATTCCAACAAAAAACAATGTTTGACATTCTATTTGATTTATGTTTTAGAAATCATATTAGTATTAACAGTAAAGAATAATTCAACGTGTTATATGTTTACGTAATGATTTATACCAAATATGTTTTAATATTTGACAATTAAATAACTACATTTTATGAAATTATGTTGAGTGACGATTCAAATTCACTCCACCAATTTTTTGCAACTCGTTTTGTTTCAATCGTTAATTCGTCATTCCATTTTACGCCATCATATATCATCTTGATTATGATCTCCGAGTTTTTTAGAAATTGCATTATGTCTCTAATATTGAAATTCATTTTTCTATTTTGTTCATATTTATCCCAAATAGAAATAAATGAAATCATATTTGAAATAGTCTCAATACGAATTCTCTTTATTCCTTGAAAAACGTCGGAGAATACCGTGAACCAATAACGGTCCATGAACTTCAACATCGTAAATAAAGACCAAGGCTGGGCTGGTACAACAAAATTCCAATCGTCACCAAAGCATTGTTGAAAATGAAACGAGATTGCAGGCGGAAGTAAATTATTAAGATTAGCAATGATTTTTGTCACAAAACATTCTTGAAATGATTCGATTTGTCTTGATAATACGCTTTCTGGAAAGTACGGTGCCTCTTCATTCATCATTAATATTCCTATTGATTCTATCCTCTGATCACATTTATCATTCAAGACTTGTGAGGTGACCCCTTGTGAAATAAGTTCAGGATTGTTGTTATTATTTGTAGATCTTTTAATATTCTTTGGTGAATGAATTGAATCGTCAAGAGAAAACGAAGTCGGGCCATTATCTTTTTGTGCAGAATACGTTATGGTTTCATATGCTGTGATAGATGAAACCGAATTACTACTCTTGTTCTTTGGTGCATGTATTGAATCGTAAATAGAAGAATGCTCTGGATAATGCAACCTTTGTGTCAGCATTGGCGAACATGATACCATCGCAGATGGCATAGAAGAATTCTGCAATTGAGCTTCATACATGGATACTTGATTTTGCATTGAGGATGAAGAATCTGGTGGAATTTCGTCATAATCCATCATCATTGTATCAGCGTCCTAATGTACAAATTTTCCGGATTGAAAAAAATAGATACTATCCATCTAAAATAAATATGTAAAAAATTACTATATAAATTACCTGATCAAAATTTTC